ATGTCAAATAGCCAAGAATGCTCTTCCACCTCCCACACACTTCTGAAATAAAAAAGTCAACATTTATAGAAAAATTATTAAAATTTGCCCTTGTACAAGACTTTCTTTTTTCCCCAAAAATGTATCTCAAATTACCCTTCGTCTAATGCGCCGTAGGCGACTAGCTAGCAAGTCTGGGACGAGCAGTAGTCTACTAAGCACAAACATTACGTTCCTAATATTACTGAAAAACAAACAAAATTATCACAAACTTACGGCAAAATGGATGAACATGTAAATAATGGCTTAACAGCAGAGAGAACCTCACAGTATTCACCAATAAAACTATTTCTTTTTAACTATGGTAAATTTAATTAATGCTCACCTGTATATTGTATACAAAGGCTTCAGCCAAGGTCAAATATCCTACAAAGGTCATCCACCTCCCACTCAAATCTGAAATAAGTCATTAAACCGTCAACATTTTAAACTATACACACTTTGGCTTCTACATTAGATATAATTACTTTGCCTAAACTACTATTCATGTAGCCTTACCACAGTAGCAGTATAAAATCTAACCTTACATGAGCCACTCTATCTAGAATAATTAAATTTCCATTCTTGATACTTATGAAGACAACAAATTTTGCTCATAATTCTCTTCCAACAGGTTATGCAAGTCAGGAACATTGTACAACAATAGTTATGCTCACCTGTATAAGACTTCAGCCAATGTCAAATAGCCAAGAATGCTCTTCCACCTCCCACACACTTCTGAAATAAAAAATAAAAACGTCAACATTTATAGAAAAATTATTAAAATTTGCCCTTGTACAAGCCTTTCTTTTTTCCCCAAAAATGTATGCGCCGTAGGCGACTAGCTAGCAAGTCTGGGACGAGCAGTAGTCTACTAAGCACAAACATTACGTTCCTAATATTACTGAAAAACAAACAAAATTATCACAAACTTACGGCAAATTGGACAAACATGTAAATAATGGCTTAACAGCAGAGGGAACCTCACAGTATTCACCAATAAAAATATTTCTTTTTAACTATAGTAAATTTAATTTATGCTCACCTGTATATTGTATATAAACGCTTCAGCCAAGGTCAAATATCCTACAAAGGTCATCCACCTCCCACTCAAATATGAAATAAGTCATTAAACCGTCAACCTTTATAGACAAATTATACTTGTATCAAGTTCAAATATCCACTTATATCAAGACAAATCAACTTGTATAACAACAATTCAGAGAACAACACTCGCAGCACAATTAGTAGGTATAACCTGTAATATTTGATCACTAACATTAACTATGATCGGTACACAATAGTTACTGTTCAAGTTTAATCATTTACCTATTATACAGTACAGCATTAATTTAGCACAAAATTAATGGCAAAATACTATATTTAAGTTCAACTGAACCCCCTCCCCCCCAAAAATACGCCATTTGTTGGTACAGTACCTGCCTTTTCCAGTATTGTATTTTTAAAACGTATATACACTCGCACTGAGCTCGAGGTGGCCGACGGGAAGTGATATTGCAAGTGTCTCGAACCCCTCCGCGCCAGCAAGCTGGGGCCGAGGCAGGCATTGCATGGTATGACTGGCAGCGTAGGAAGACTAGAGGAAAAGCCAGTCAGCCAGCATTAAAAGAGTTCACCAGTTGCCCTCATATTAACACAATTACCAAGATTTAAAATCGTGTAAAGTACCTTAGTATGAAATTTAAACTACTTTCTTACAAATGCTGGAGACTAAGGGATTTAGGTTAAGCTTTTTTTTGGAAAAATCAATATTTTGACAACGTGAAAACTAACTTCTTCGTAACGTAAAGATGGTCTACATATTTAAGAATACCCTGTATCTATAAAGGCTTTTTAAAACCTACAAGCAAAGCATACTTTAAATATCTAATTATTTCAAAATAAGTTAACAATTACTCTATTTTTTTTTAAAGGTGAACAAATCCTTAAACAAAACTAAGAAACCACAACGACAGCTACAGTACTGTACTTTAAGTTATAGCAGAATGTTTCCGATTTTGTGCAACAACAGTTCCGTTAACGGAAACTAACAGTCTTGTGTACTCATCTTCACGGTCCTCGAATGAATAATATTGTAACTAAAAATTAAGTAATGTAGTCTTTGTACAACTGTAATGCAATAAAATAAGAACACACATCTATAGTACGTCTCTATAGCCAAAATATATACCAAATCTTGTGAAGTACGTCCGAATAAACACTTAAAATATTTAACATTAAATCTTCGTGAACATGAAATTAACCACAATTAACACATATCGCATAGGAACAGGGTTGCCACATGTACGACAAGCTTCACGGCCAAATCTTTTTGGATGGAAAGCACAAGGCTATTTTTACAATCCACAAAATAAAAATCTCCCCCACAATATGCACTTAAAATGTCGCAACAAAACAAATTTTTCACTTATAATTCAGATCCCAATAATTACATAAACATAATATCTGTAATCCACAGTGAAGACTTACCGTAAACTCAAATGGTGGTGGAGCATGATAATGGTGGAGTCCAGTTCGTCACCGTCCCCTGGTTCTTCCTTCTCGTACATGATTGCAGAGTTAAATAGCTCCACCATGTGTGGTGTTACTTTCAAATCTCTGCAACATTTTCCTTGGAACTGGAGCATGATAATGGTGGAGTCCAGTTCGTCACCGTCCCCTGGTTCTTCCTTCTCGTACATGATTGCAGAGTTAAATAGCTCCACCATGTGTGGTGTTACTTTCAAATCTCTGCAACATTTTCCTTGGAACTGGACCATTTTCACTTCCATCACTGGCTATACTAACACAGACGAATTTTTCTTCCCATAATTTGTTATAGTTTCTACCACTGTCGTAAGACACTTTGCAAAAACTAGTGGACATTTTGAAAACTATCAATCAGAATTTCAGAAAGTAACTCAGATGGCTTTGTAAACTATAAAGCAGGGGTTCTCAACCAGGGGGGAATTTCCCCCCTCAGGTTTTCAGAGACGGGGGAAAACTGATACCAATATGGAAATAATAAAGGATTTTCAGTATTATATGCATATTATTTGGAATGCACTTTTTGAGGCAGACAATCTTGGAAAGGAGGGGGGGAATGACATTCTGACATATGGTGAAAGGGGTGCATGAGGCAAACAAGGTTGAGAACCACTGCTATAAAGCTTAACCCATATGCTGGACACGTTCAGCCTGAACAACTCAAATATGAGAACTAACAAATAAGGCAGTAACTAGTAAGGACAGTCACCTTTCAATTGAGAAATTTGAAAATCTGTTAGACATGTCTTCAAAATCCACTAGATGAGGTATTAACACAAAATTCGGCCAAATAGTTTGACCATGACCAACCACTTTCCACGGCCGAAGTAGACAAATTTGACAACCTTGTATAGGCGAGTTCCAGAGACAACTGATTTGAGTAAGTGACAGCAACAACGTCGTGGACCCTCCTCCTTCCCTCCCACCTCACACCACTTCGTCCGAATGATTAACTATAATACAAACTTCATCGTATATACAAATTTTAACTTACATTTAAGGTCAAATAAGTCATTTATAATATTATTAAAATAAAATAAGAAAAAACAAATAAATAAATATGAAATTTACGTAAAAATTTTTATTATAAAGACGAATATTCAAGTCTACTTGCCTCCGAGGATTCGGACACAGCAAAGTTTAAACTGCCAACATTACCTGTAAACAATACATAATTAAATCCTTAAATAATCCTCCGATTTTAATATTTTTAATACGAATTCACTATTTTTTTAATATTAACACAATTATTTTACAATCAATAAATATTTTACTCGGAAAACTTTGCGGGGGATAAATACAGACTGATTACTTACCCACTACTATAATGAGGCAATTGGCCTGTTTACGTGCATTCGTAATAGATAGATAAATTAATTTATTAGTGGTGTGTTTTAAACAAATTCAAAAGGAGCTGGTTAGTATGCTAACTAGCCCGCCCAAAACTACTCTTAACAAGAGCTCTTTAATATTGTACGTAATCATAAAACAGATATGTATACAACAAATAGATATGCATAAAATCTGCAAACTATAATCAAAATTTTCCGAATATTGTCCATTTCCCATTGCTGTCGGATTTTTACCATTCCAGATTTTATTCTTTTAATACTCAAAATACAATCATATTCTACAATTTATTTGCCACACCCTTGCTTCGCCAAATCATCAGCACAGAGAGCGCTTTGGCTGTCAACAAACCCAAAACTGTTTTTTGTCCTACATATATAGCATCCTTGACCACTGTTAAGTTGGCCCATACCAACCCCCTCCCCTGAACCCTCATCCCCACAGGAATATCAACAAGTTCTCGCCAGAAGTTACAATTTCATTTAGGAAAGGAACGGAACCAATGTTAAACAGAGGTGAACAGTGGTGAACAGTGCTTAAGTCAGTGAGAACAACTCAACAGTAACAGTCGTACCCAAGTTAACCTTCACACAGTGAGGTCCCAGGTAACCAGTGATAACGGCCCGTGAGACCCAACAACAACCAACGATGTGTTAATCCGTCTACGATAGGAAGGCCTGGGACCACACCTCACTCATATAACACCATCTGTGAGGGAATTACTACACCACGTCATGTCCCCCATAACGCCATATGTGAGGGAATTACTACACCACGTCAAGTCCCTCATAACACCATCTGTGAGGGAGTTACTACACCACGTGAGGCCCCTCATAACACTATCTGTGTGGTAATTACTACACCACGTGAGGTCCCTCATAACACCATCTGTGAGGGAATTACTACACCACGTGAGGCCCCTCATAACACCATCTGAGGGAACTACATCACGTCAGGTCCCCCCCTAACACCATCTGGGAGGGAGTTACTACACTACGTGTTTGCTGTTCAACACCTACATTAATCTGTATGTTCTTTTACCTTTCTCTAATGAAGGCTTGTGTTAAACCACCAATGTATGTAATAAGTCATTTATGTCCAATGTATATTATCAGCCTTCGGGCTGCAGAACTTTTTCAATAAACCGTTAATTATTATTATTATTATTAAAGTTCACCAGTGGTGCTGGAACTTCTATCCCCAATTCTCTTGCATATTCTTTCGTAACACTAACACCACATTCAAAAATTTCCCTTATAACAATGCCACAACCGGTCCGATTCCCATTAACTGAACCGTCACAGTACATATGAATAACATTTCCCTTTTGTACTCAGATATTTTCTCAAGGAATATTTGCCGTAACTCATAAGGCTTACAAACTTTTTTTTTTACCTCTAGCTTATCCATTCTTACAGATACACTCTCCATGAACCATGGTTTCAAATAAACATTGTTTGGCAAAGGTACACAAAAATCTACAATATTACATTCACACAACATCTGACAAAGTTTTTTAGTATAAGTATTCATCTTTAAATTACTAGTAATTACATTAGTAAATTTATCAACAGTAGACTAATAAACCCTATAGAGTAGAAATGACAGTCAACTCCCTAATTATGTATATTATGCACTAGGGTGTGTCATAGGAGGGAAGATCAGCTAAAACTAATGGCCCATCACTTTTTTGGTAGATTTTAGTGTATATAAACAGAAAAGAATTTCAGTTTCAATATTTTGCAACCTTTTGCTAGGTATATTTTAGCGTGAAATTTATCGAAAATCGAACGTACAGCTGCATTAGTGCATTACAATTAAATAGTGAACATTGCTTTCTGACTTCATTCTTTAACAACCCAACTAACAATATTTTTTCTGTTTCAGATTCTGATGCATTTATAAGTTGATAATATTTGCGATGGCTGCTTGTGTCAGGACGAGGAACCAAAAATCCAGCCATCTCAGTCACTATCTTGGGTCTGGGAGAGAGCTCCTGAAGTCGGAGTTGCCTACATTGAGAGATGCTTTGAGATACGGTGTTTTAATCAGGCAAATCAGTGAAAAGAACCAAAGAACTTACACAAACAAAGACATTGCCAGTGATATGACCAAAGCTGTCTTGGCACAGTAGCCTACACTCTGGCTAACGCTCAGTTCAAGCCTCCAGTCATAACAAGTCAGAAGAAGATTAGTGAGAGACTGCTAGCCAGTTGGGAAAAGGCAAGAGATATCTCTCTTGGGAGAGGAAAACTTGCAGTTAAGGACAGCTTTGCCAAGCAACTGGACCAGTTATTTGACATAATTACTTGCAAGTGCCCAATTGTTCTCTGTCCTGAGTTTGGATGCGATCGTGACTGTAAACCCGAGGCCCACATCTCCTGTATTTGCAAGCGTGAACTGAAGATTCCTGTGATCGAACTGGCATTTGTCAAAGCACAGAGAGAGAAGACTGGCAGTATAGAGGCTCTCATGATTTCTAGCCAAGATATTCCGGAGTCCAAGAGACAGGAGGCTGCCACAGAGAGACAGAAGAGGAGAAGAGTTGCCGAGGAAAAGAGACTTGACAAGGCCCAGGGTGAGGTAAAAAAGACCGATGATTGGAGTCAAGCTGATTCAGAGTTTAATGACTTCCCCATGGCTGATCCGGAGTGCTGACCAGGAGAATGGTGACTTTTGTCCCTAACCCAGAAAATAATGATCCCAAACCTTCCAGGCATAAGATTCGAAATAGGAAAGATATCCCGAGCATAGCTCTGGCCAGCATGCGACACCACACTGGTCTCAGAGAAACTGCAGAGATAGCAACAGCTGCCTGGATTGACGGTGGTTTGATAACACCTGATGATGTTCACCTGGTGATAGATCATAACAAAGTAAGGAGAGCTCAGGAGAAACTTGTCAGTAACCTAGAAGAGGAGTTTGATAAGGGGATAAGAGAAAATGGAATCAATTGTTTGTTCTTTGATGGGAGAAGGGATGACACTAAAGTGTTCATGAAAGTTGGAGATTCTGACAAGTTGTTCCCTGCCATGGTGAAGGAGGAACACTACTCCTGCTGCAGTGAAGGAGGAAGTATTTGTGGCATTTCACTCAGAGAAAGATGACATCAGGAAACCAGCTGAGATAGTGGCAGATAACATTGTGAACTGGCTCAGAGAGAGGAACGTGTAGACCAGACCCTGCAGGCCATTGAGGGGACAGCACCAACACGAACACAGGGTGGCAAGGGGGGTCATACAGTGGATAGGGCGGAAGATTGGGAGGAAGCTGGTCTGGATTGTTTGTGACCTCCACACCAACGAGTTGCCACTCAGACATCTGATCCAGGAGCTGGATGGCAAGACTCTTTCAAACAACAGATGGTCTGGTCCTCTTGGCAAGATGCTGGACTCTGCCACTGAGTTAGAAATAAATCCGAGCTTTGAAAAAATCACAGTTGGCCCTCCATTTCGTTGAGCTTGCACATACTGTCATTGACGACCTGAGTACTGACCAGTACTATGGTTACATGATTTGCAGTGCCATCAAAACTGGGGTCATGCCTGATAGACTTGCTTACCTGCAGATAGGTCAGTCTCACATTCCTGGGTGGCTCACAACGGCTCTCAGGTTCTGCAGAATTTGGGTCGCTCATCATAAACTGAAAGGAACCAGCTTCACCAACCTGAGACTTATTGTCAATTCATCGTGAGTGTCTACTTGCCAATTGGTTCAACACCAAGGTCAAGTCATCGTTCTCCGAAGGTCGAGGCATGTTCTCTTCCAGCTTGGCTCCTGAGTCAGCCAAGGAAAGGTTGTTCAGATTGTGGAGCAGACTGTGAGGAGATCTTCCTGGTATGCTCATCCCGAGGCAGTTCTGCAGACAATGCTCTGCAGTAGGATGAGGAAGGAGAGAAAGAGTGGCAGTCAAAAAGATCTTGGATATAGGACTTATGAGAGGATCTGGGCATGACGAATCAGTTGGTGACGATTCCTTCAGGGTCAGGAAGACTCCTGAAGTCAATCTAGGTGCCAAGACCCTCACTGATCTCATAGATCTGGATAACATCCAGGCTGGCAGTGAGCTCCCTCTTACCTGCAGCCTCACCAATGTTCAAGTCAGAGCTTTCCTGGACAGCCCCATGCATGTCCCTGCCTGGCCTTCGCACACCCAGAGTATAGAGCGTTGTGTACAGCAAGTGAGCGAGGCCAGCAGTCACGTGTACAGCCAGGAGAGGAGGGAAGGCTACATCCGAGCTCAGGTGGTCAGCAGGGAGGTGATGAGTAGAAACAGAAGCAAGAAAGACACGTTCTCTATGGTGTGCAGCAACACCGGGTCGTAGTAGTAAAACCGGTTTTTGTATTTGATGATTTTGTTTTCTAAAGGAATATTAAATTTAATAAATGTGTCAAGATCATTCATTTCACTATTCTGGATCATTTTCATCCTAATAAATTAACCTGATACAT